GTCAGGCGCAGGATGATCGTATTTCCTCTTTAGTCATCTGACTTCTGCTGGTCTAGTGCCCTAGTCCTGGGAGTGAGCGCTAAATGTCTGGATGTTGCAGGATTAACTCCCCAGTACACATTCTCTCCCAGTCCCACCAGCTTCCCCGCCACTGTCTGCCCTGATTTGCTACAACTATTGCTCAACTCAGGAAGAAGCAGTCTAGACTTGGTTGGGTCTCTCCTCCACGGAGGTGAGTGTGATGCCTACGCACACCAATCACCTGTAGCTGAATCCAGCCCAGAGATGGATCTGAACCACACAGGATCATTTTCTGGAATGTGGACCGGTCACAGAGTTTTCAGCTACCTGGCCCTGGAAGGCTTAGTGTTTCCCCGGACGAGCCTAGCCCAGAGCACCTCTTCATAATTTCTCTTGCCACTCATCAGCGCACACCTCAGTAAGGATACAAGGATTAGTCAGTGGCTGCCCAGGGCATGGTAGGAAGACCTATTTGTTGCTCTTGTTAGTCATTCATACTCTGTCTTTGAAAAATATCAGACCACGCACAGACTGTGTTCACACAGGGTGTAGCATAGGGTTCCTACACACTGAGGAGAGCCATCAGACTTAAATACAGCAACTAAAGGGATATAGCTTAGTTAATGCATACGATTTTATTTACTTATTAATAAGTAGATTCTATCTCAGCCATCCAGCTTTTTTTTTTTTTGTATCACACATACTGCTATAATCAGAGGGGCCACAGCTGATTAGTGGAGGCCCTCTTGACCAGAGGTCAAGTTTGTCTGTGTTTTCTAACTTGAAGTGTAGACTTTGTGACTGTCCGCTGTTTTCGTTTCTGTGTGTTCTCCTTTTAGTGGGAAAGGAATTTGAAAACAGTATTTTCAGTTCAAAGTTTTGATTTACCATACATGGCAGACCAGAATAGTACTTAAGAATTCTCCAGCCATGATTCTGTCTCAGTAAATACTACTTCCTTAAGGTAATCACCCCACCAGGGCGATCCATAGACATGTGTCTCCTTCCATATGTTTGATTTATTTCCTATTGTAGCTTGAAGAGGTTTCTCTGAAGTGGAAGCAGTGGCACTCTGGTGGGGTGGAGTGACTGTGTCTGACCTTTATTGCAGGGGTAGGGTGACTGATGTTTCTTGCATTCATTGGGATTCAGCTGGGACAGGATGGATGGAGGTGGTCACTCAGGGCCAGCACTAGCTCCTCCAGAGCATAGGAAACATCTTCTAACACTGTCTCCCACTTCATGCACCAGGCTGGTTCTTTCAGACCGGTCCTATAGCATCCCTTTCTCTGGTTCATAGGTTCAAGGGCATCCTGCTAAACTAGTGTGGTAAGAGAGGAACAAAAAAGGCTTTGGAACCTCAGCTTCCCCTAGTCCCTGGCATGGGCCCGAGAAGGGCGACTGATTTCATTCCCTGAAGAGAATTCTCATATCAGGAGCCAAGTGACCAAATAAGTATCCAACCAATGCAAGCCAGTTAATGTTGCCGGGGCTTGCATGTCTGCAGAGTCTAACTACAACACACAATAGGCTCGTGTGTGACAGATACTCTCAGAGCCTACTGAGTCAAGAGGGTAGATACCAAAAGTCAAGCAAAAATAGAGGCCCTTAGGAGACGTGACAAGTTAGCTCTCCACTTAACTTCCATGTAGAGTTTGTGGATCTAATGACGTAGTTTTCAGTTATGTCCTCTGTGGGCTACAGTACCTCGGGAAAGGAACGTTGGGTAGCCACCTCAGCTTGGACTAAAGGCAAGACAGAAAAGAAATCCCTGGCATTTAGCTTGTTGTGCTTATTTTGATGTGCTGTTTTCAAGGTTGAGTTTTTAAAAATATGTTTGCTCTGTGTGTGTGTGTGTGTGTGTGTGTGTGTGTGTTCACAAACAAATACTCATAGAGGCTAATGCCAGAGCATCAGGTCCCTGGGAGCTGGAGGTCCAGGCAGGTTGTAAACCACCAGTCAATGGTGCTGAGAACTGAACTGAGCCCTCTGAAGGAGTTATAAGCACTTTTAACCACTGTGCCATCTCTTCAGCCCTGATATTTTAATTAAGCATTTTTAAATGTACCTCAGATTTGTAGTATATTGCCACATCACCTATAACGACTATAAGCATAGTGGTTTAATAATATGATTTGTGTCAGTATTTAATGTTAAAGCACCTTCTGAAGTGTTCAATCCATCTGGGTGTAAACTCGATCATAAAGAATAGTAAAGGCAGAGAGGTGAAGGGGTATACAGGGAGATATGTCTCTGCGGCCAGCCAGTAGGAAAGCATGCAGAATGTTCCTGTTTGTCTGTAGATTATACAGCTTTAGCACCAATTAAAAATACAATCTGACTAAAAGAAACAAGGTCAAAAACTAAAGAGAAGCCCTGACGCCATCTCTCTCAAACACACGAGGCCTCTCCCTTGTCCCTCCTGCTTAGCTGGTCTGGCACACACTCCCCCCTGGAGACCCTACAGATCAGAGTGTCACATGTCCCCTAACATGAGAACAGAGATCAAAGGGACAAATTTGAAATGAGTGGCATTGATTGGCAGCTGATCATCGCCTTAATACTCTATTTTCAAGGGACACTTCTCCCCAGAGTGTACTTCAGACAGTCCCAGTGAGTTAGGCTTCTCAGGGGAAAAAAAATTAACAGTAAAGGATACTTTTGTCGACACTATTGCTGCCCACAAGTGGAACTTCTAAGGAGAAAAACTGAATGCTTTACTCAGTCCTACAGTCAAATCCCAGAACTTCTTGAAGTCCACAGCTGCTATGAGTATGCCTCACCCTTTTATCCTACACTCATGGCATGTCACAGCTAGACAATGGTAGAGCCCCGACAGCCAGTTTTCTGGTCTAGATTCATCATGACTTGAAGTTCAACACCACCAGGACGCACTCTCCCTCCCTGTCTCCATGTACCAGCTCCATGCACTCCATTCACTGGCAGAGGGGAAGGCAGGCTGGGTGAGTTTCAGCCTAGCGATTTCCCACTGGTCTCTCTGTCATGCACAAGTTTCAAAGCATCGTTTTAAGTTTTCTGTAGGGCACCCATCAGGCGTTTGTAATTTTGTTCTGTCTGGCTTTTTAACTTCATCCAATAAGCAGAATTGTGTACATACCAAAAGAAAAAAATACATTATTATGTTTGTCTAAGGAACTAGTGGATTCCTATATATCTTTCAGGGCCTGTTGCTAAAGTAAGAGAAAACAGTGAAAAAATAGAACATGATTTGATGTCTTAGGAAGTAGTCCTGTTGTGCAGATAGCTTAGAAGCTTGGGAATGAAAAAAATACAGGAAAGTCCTGTTTAATAGTCAACTGTCTAAATCCAAAAACAAAGTATAAACTATTTGGGGATTCTAAGTGTCACTTAGCTGTCATGATGTCATTCAAAGACAATATGACAAATGCATTCAAATACTAGATCCTGTGACAGAGTCTACATATAAAAACTATATGCTGCTCAAACACATCTACCCGCATAGGAAACAAGGGACACTGTTTTCCGAATTAGCCTCAAATTCCAAGGAAATGTTTTAGAACAAGGAGTAGGGACTAGGGCAACCGTCCAGTGGTTAACTGAAGGACCAAACTTTGGTTCCCAGCCCCCGAAGTGAGCAGCTCAGAACCCCCAGCCCAACTCCCAACAGTCTCTTCTAGACACCCACCCCAGTATGGCATCTTCACTCCCAGACACTCAGGCAACCATAATAAAATAAAGATGAGTAAATACATCTTAAGTGAAGGGCCTTAGTATCTGAAGTTTCGAACCTTCATTTCACATAAATATTTCTGTAAGTCACCTCCATTTTTGGCCAGTTCTACATATATCTGTATGCCCAATGAAGTGAGGGACGGACATATTTATCATTTGAATATACTAAAATATTACATATGAACTGTTGGAGTGGTCAAAGAAAAATATCTATATGCATAAACTTTGATATGATAGGATAATAAATTACATTTGTAGAAATAACCTTTTTACTGGGGATTGAAATCCGATGTGTACCAGTGTTAGCTAGTATTTACCAGAAGGGGTTCCTTTAGTTATTTCTTACTCCTTTTTGGCTACTTAACAAATGAACTTGTGTCCGTTAGTTATATAAAGAGAAATCAAAGTGTTGCAAAGAGCAAATACCTTAGATAAAACTTCTATTTAAGCTTGATATTTAATGCTCTAGACCACATAAGCCCAGACCTCTGACCTCAATAGCGTTGGGTTGGAGAGGGACACCATTGGTCTGGGGATTTAGCTCAGTGGCAGAGTGCTGGCCTAGGGTGTGCAAGGCCCTGGAGTCACAGTCCCGGGACTAAGAGCAGGGAGGGGACCTTGGTGGTTAATCCCAGGAGCCACAGCTTGGCTTTAGTTGTAGCCTTGCCTGAGCTTGATCTGAGCTTTTGGGTTTATTGCAAATATTTTTAACTGCTTAGTTAGACGGCTATCCCTTTTCACTGTGACATTCAAGTTTATCCTGCGTTTGAAACTGGTTGCTAGTCTATCTTGGGAACAAGGTCATGTTTGATAAGACTGTATCTTTGAGTTATAAGTGAACAGTTAAACTATCTGCTTGATTGACTCTTAAGATATTTAAAGTTAAGTTCAGAAACAACTTTCAAAGGTAAATTCTCTGATTAGACTTTCTGATCAGCAGATCAAAGGTCACTTTGATAGTGATACGAGTATAGACCTAAGAAATACGAAGCAAAGTCACTTAAAGAGATTGAGGTTGAATCAGACTGGCTGCCCACATACATGCTGTCGTGGTCTCATAGAAAACTCCACGGCACACGGAAGAAATTGCTCAGTGCAAAAATCCTCAGCATGAAGGGTACAAGTTTTGCAAAGTTAATTGGGTCAGAATTATGAGAAATTGAAGATCATTCCACTTTCAAATATCTGTCTGCAAAAGAATAAGACTTGACCTTTCTATTTTCCCTGCAGGAGGTCTAAATTGCGCTTGTCTTTTTCCTTAACAGATAATTCTGAAATAATCAACAGAAATGGAATGGAATGCCAAGAATCTGCATTGAGAATAACTAAACATTGTTATTGTACATACTATCCCGTTTCCTCCTCAATAGAATTGCCACAAACTGCATGCTAAATTTAGTTCTTCTGGACAGACCACAACCCTAAGGCTAGTTCTGCTATGTCATATATGAGTATTAAATATGGTATGCTTAGTATATTCCAGCCTAAGATAGTTAACTACCTGAGACCAGCTGCGATGTTCAAAGACATACAGGATGAGGTTTTCTTTTACAGGGTTCTGAGCATAGTTTCTGTCCCAGGAATATTGTCGTATCTCCATAACTATAGCTGATGCAGAAAGTCCAGCCAATATACTCATTTCGACTCAGAATATTTCAAATTTAGCAATAAACAGTTAGCTTTAGTTTAAGTACCTATTCCAAGGGCAGGTTCGATTCTAACTCCAGTCACAACCATTTCATTTCCTGACCGGATCAAAGGGTATGATTCACTTCTTGAGGAGACGGACACTCGCAGCAGAGACGAGAAGTGAAGTAAAACACGCACCTGCCTCGCAGGTCTAAAGTCTGAGTGCAGTTCAAGCACAATTGCCCAGGGGACACATCAGAATGTGGGGTTCGCTTTGCCAGGAGATGCCGCACTGAATCATGGGATTCTAGAATAACATTGCATAGATTGAAAAAAAAAAAAAACTTTGCACGGTATGAGCTTCATACCCAACCCAACAAAGTCTTGAAGGTATTATTTTACAAGTATATTTTTAAAGTTGTTTTATAAGAGAGACTTTGTAGAAGTGCCTAGATTTTTGCCAGACTTCATCCAGCTTGACAAGAATGAAAGGCTTATGCCAATAGTCGAATCTAAGGGATTGGTCTTTCAAACTCGCCCTCCGGTTGCCTGTTACTGAATAACTCTTCTAAACTAAAACCTAGTCAAACAGGGAAGCTGTAGGTGAGGAGGTCTGTATAATATTCCAGTTTAAGTACGTCTGACTTTAGTCACTACAGATGCAAACTGTGACTTTAATCTAAATTACTATGTAAACAAAAAAAGAAGTAGATAGTTTCACTTTTTAAAAAAATCCATTACTGTTTTTTGCATTTTAAAAGTTGGATTAAAGGGTTGTAACTAACTACAGCATGGGAAAAAATAGTTCTTTTAATTCTTTCACCTTAAAGCATATTTTATGTCTCAAAAGTATAAAAAACTTTAATACAAGTACATACATATTATATATACACATACATATATATACTATATATGGATGAAACATATTTTAATGTTGTTTACTTTTTTTAAATACTTGGTTGATCTTCAAGGTAATAGCGATACAATTAAATTTTGTTCAGAAGAGTTTGTTTTAAAGTTTATTTTAAGCACTATCGTACCAAATATTTCATATTTCACATTTTATATGTTGCACATAGCCTACACAGTACCTACATAGTTTTTAAATTATTGTTTAAGAAATGAAACAGCTGTTATAAATGGATATTATGTGTAATTGTTTAAAACATCCATTTTCTTTGTGAACATTTTAGTGATTGAAGTATTTTGACTTTTGAGATTGAATGTAAAATATTTTAAATTTTTGGTATCATCGCCTGTTCCAAAAACTAGAGGCATCCAACCATATTGGTTTTTTTTTTTTGATTGAGGAAAAAAATCTGCATTTAATTCATGTTGGTCAAAGTCTAATTACTATCTATTTATCTTACATCATAGATCTGATAACTGTATCAAAAAGAGAAATCACATTCTGAGTGTAATCCTGCGTAGTGCTTATATTGTGTTTGTTTTCATTTGTGGGAAGGTATTGTATCTAACTTGTATCACCTCAAGAGCTCTCATCTTTATGTATTATTGATATTTGTAACTTTCTCAGCTATAACAATGTAGTTACGCTACAACTTGCCTAAAACACTCATACTTATTTTTTTTTCCTTTACTTACGCATTTAAACTCATTGAGAAGATAGTAGACTAAAAAGGTAAATTATGGGAATCACTGAAATATTTTTGTAGACTAATTGTTGTAACTGTCTTTTTTTCCTTTCATTTCATGATTTTTTATTTTAAAGATTATTAGCACATAGCTATTTTCAGCCCTTTAATAATTGAGCATCAAAACATGACCTGTATCCCCCAGCAAATATAGATGACTGTATTTTTTACTATGATATCCATTTTCCAGAATTGTGATTATAATATGCAGAGTCAAATATGCCATTTACAATAAGGAGGAGGCAAGGCAAATGCATAGATGTACAAATATATGTACAACAGATTTTGCTTTTTATTTATTTATAATGTAATTTTATAGAATAATTCTGGGATTTGAGAGGATCTAAAACTATTTTTCTGTATAAATATTATTTGCCAAAAGTTTGTTTATATTCAGAAGTCTGACTATGATGGATATAATCTTAAATGCTTTGTTTAATTACAAAAACAAAATCACCAATATCCAAGACAGGAAGATATCAGTTCAACAGCTACTGTAGTTAGGAAACTAACTCCACCTACACGGGAACTCCATCTCACTCTTGGTTTTCAGGACATAACAGCACTTCACAGAAATATTCTTTCAGCCATACACCACTGGTCACATTTCTACTAAATCTTTCTGTAACACTTCTTAAAGAATTCCCTCATTCATTATCTTACAGTGTAAACAGGACTCTAATTTGTATCAATTCTATGTTTTGGTTGTAATATTCAGTTCACTCACCCAGTGTACAACCAATGAAATAAAAGAAGCATTTAAAAGGATTGTGTTGTGGTCTTCCTTCTTGTTTAGACAGATAATTAGCTGGACAGAAATGTTTTTACCTTGGTATAGATACTACTCAGTGACACCAAACAACAAACAGCAGTCCTCAAATGGGGCAGAGAGAGGCAAAGGCAGACAGACGGACGGACGGACAGACTGATGATAGATAGATAGATAGATAGATAGATAGATAGATAGATGATGGGTGGAAAGATAGATGATTGATACATGATAAATAGATAAGTATATGGATAGATTATAGATGGATGATAGATGATGGATTGATAGATAGATAGGTAGATGATAGACAAGTAGACAGATAGATAGATGATAGATAGATAGATAGACAGATAGATAGACTGACTGACTGACTGACTGACTGACTGATTTGATTTATTTTTGGGTTTGGCTTTTTCCTTTACACTTTTGTTTGTGGGTGGCACATGCCACTGTGTATATTTGGAGGTAGAAGTACAACTTGAGGGAGTTAATTCTGTCCTCGCATGTGGGCCCTAGAGATTGAACCTGTGTCATCGGGCTTGGCAACAAGTACATGTATCCACTGAGCCATCTTTCCAGCCCCGGGCTTTGGCTTTAAACAACAAGAAAAATAATTTAAAGTGATCACTTGGTGAATGATCTCAGGATCCTTTAAAATTAGCAACAATGCATCCTGCCGTCCAAGTCCTTTTGCTGTGATTCTGACTAGTCGTGAGGAAACATGCATGTCAGTGAGTAAATGGGACCAGCATCAAGAATGTGTTTTAAGGGGGGGAGGGGTTAGCCTGTGATGCAGACTTCTAGAAGGAGCTTAAGTGGTCATTTGTAGCTGCCGAGGGAGACAGAACAATGAATCTGCCCTATGCAAAAGGCCTGACCGTATAGACTAAGAACAGAATGTGTTGGAAGGGAATCAGTGACTCTCTCTTGTCCACAAGCTGCATTCTAGCTAGAGTGTGTTCTTCAGACCGCATCTCAAAGGATGGAGAGTCAGCTCAGCGGTTAAGAGAACTGGCTGCTCTTTGAAAGGATCAGGGTTCAATTCCCAGGACCTCTACGGTAGCTCAGGACCCACATAGAGGCTCACAACTCTGTTAATTCAGTTCTGGGGAACCTGATACCCTCTTCTGGCCACCATAGGTACTGCATACCTATGGTGCACAAAAAATACATGTAGGTAGATGAGCCATGCATATAAATAATAAAAATTAAGGTTGACTAAAATCAGCAATAGGCCTGTCATACATGTATACTAACACCAAGTCTTGGGTCTCAGTGGAAAAACATTGAAACAGATGGCTATAAGCTAATGTAAACAGGCAGCTTTTGTGGAAACTTATAAGCCTGAGTAGTCAAAGACCTTATAAATAGGTAGCCTTGGCAGACAATACCAACTTAGACAAGGACAAGCGAGTCATAGGCAGAGTCATAGTGAATTGTCCCCTGAACCTTCACCCAGCCGATACCCAGTTCTGAAGATTATCTGTATTCCCCCTGAATACCCACACTCCAGTGTCATTCCCTTCCCCATATCCTGCCTTTCTGTGTTTATAACCCCTGTGTGAATTAAAAACTGTTTCAAGAGGAAAAAAAAATTAAGGTTGAAAAGAGATGCATCTCAAACCAAAGAGGATATGAAAGCAGCCTACTTTTTATCTCTTTAGCATAAAATTATTTAGGTATAAAATATTAATTGTCTTATATAGTTTTCTGTCAAAAATATTATTTCAGTTTTGGACTATATAATCTAAAAATGATATTTCAGACCCAGTAACACTTTCTTTGTCCTCTAATCAAAGCGTGGGTTTTTTTTTTTTTTTGTAACACTATAGAATTAGGGGCAGCCATGCAAACTGAAATAATATTCAACATATTGATGATTTTGAAAGGTCAGAAATATTCAACATGCTGAGTCCCTAAAGAATAATCGCCCCACTTGAAGTATCCAAGTGTGTGAGAAATCCGGTAACTATTGCCGTTGAAACCTTCCCTCTCCATAAACATAACTGAGTCATTGGAAATAAACATGATTCACAAAGAATGAATTGATAATGGTTTCCCTCTGTTCCTTGGCGAAGGAGGCAGGGGAGGTTAGTGGCAGGGCTGGAGGTCCCGGCTTCAAACTCCATGTTAGATATTTGATTTCCATCAAATCTGCCCTGCATCGATGAAGAGAGTTGCCGGTAACCGACAAGCGGTTCCAGCTGCTAACTCTGAGCATAACAAACACACCCTGTTCTGTACTGTGTGATTCTAGATCAACAGTGCTTTCCTGGGTCTGCCCTTCTAGGTAAGGAGATCCCTAGCTCCGCCCAGCACCTTCACCTGGCCAGTCAGCACACAGCTTCAGTTTCTTCTTTTGTTTCAGTTCCTTTAAGAACAGATCGCCTGCCAACTGGGGGCGTCTTCCTGGGACGTTCACATGGGCTTGATTTTAGTAAGGTCATTTCCGGTACTCCTCACACTGAGCTGTTTTCATGGAATACATTTCTAGCTTTACAAACAATCCCTTATACTCAGCAGTAGTGGAAAGGTAAGACCTCATAAACATTAGGGAACCCTTTTATGGATTGGAACTTCAAGTTTTGCCTCATCCTAACTCCCCAGCCATGCTGGAATGAACTTACTTTGTGCTGTTCTTTGAGCTACCCTTTCATATTCTAAGTATAGAATTTATATAGCTTTAAAGTGAAATGTTAACTTTTAAAAAAAAATGTTTACTTCAAATGAATAGGTTTTTTTCCCCTGTCATAATAAGACACTGTAAGAAATACTTTGTAGTTATAAACAACAAAGTACTATTAGAGATTCAGGACAGAGTTTAATTCTTTATTAAGACCAGAAGTGCCTTCTCTCCAGGGAATCCCAGCTTTGTTTAGCTTTTGTCAAGTTCCATATGGTTCTGCTAAAATAAAGCAGAAAGAAATCCATTGAATTTAGCCCAATAATGATGTCTCATGAAGTCACGGAGTAGCCAGATTCATATATAGTCCCTGAGAAGATGTAATTTGAAAGTCTGGGGAAAATAGCCAGAGAGAATAAATTTCTCTATAAAGGTCACACAAGGTCACACATGGAAAGCATTCCACTAAAATCCAATTCTATCCAGAGAGGCTGAGAAGTTGGATATCACTCTTGTTTGCTTTTGTGTTCTGACTTTACTGCACAGGTCTTTCCAGGCCTTTGGCTTATGTAAGCAAAAAAAACACTCAGATTGGTTCTTGTCTGCACACCAAAACAATTGAAATGGGGTCAGTCCTTCTGCTAGAAAATCTTCTGTTACTAAAGGAAAACTCTTACAAGCACACAAGTCGAGTGCTGTGCTTGCCAGAACTTCCCTTTCCCTGGCCTCCACTGAGCCCTCAAATAGAGAAATGGAAACCTGTGCATTGAAATATGAAATGCACAGACTTACAAAGGTAGAAAATATAGCTTGACAGTTTAAAGAATGCTAGCCCCAAAGCTCTAGTTTTGTCTAGATAAATTGATTAAGTTTATGTAGATGTACTAAGCAAAGCACATAATAAATATATATCTAGGACTCTGACACATTTATATGGAATATGATCCAAACATCAATCATCTGTAACGATAAGCGTTTTGAATCCACAGAAAGGAAAGACCAGCCTCTGCATGTCACAAAGTTTAGTGGCTAAGAGCTGAATTTCTACCCAAGTTTAACTCTCAAGTCTTCGTTCAAACAAGTTCTGAGCATCATCAGTTTTCTTCATCAGAATTTGAACCTCACAATTCAGTCTATTCCACCGAGACATACCGAGCTGTAAATACGAGGCTGGGGGCTGACCTTGTGTGGCAGGCCTTGACATGGAAAACTGCTTGCTGGCCAGTCACTTTCCCTAACAGTACTCAAATGAGTACCTGGGTCCCACACTGATTACCTACCTCCTGTTCTATTCAAACATTCATCCACCATGACGCCTCTTCTATTTCCTCAATGACAATTAATGCCAGAAGCCGACCTGCAGATTATAGAATTGTAATGACAATAATGAGCCTCATTCTTAATGTGGAATCCCAATTACTTCAATTCAACAAATACTCAATAAGCCTAGACTAAGCACGGCTTGGCAGTTCAGGGGACAGGGGCATAAGCCAGGTCCCAGCCTCTGCCATCCAGAAGCTCTGGGTAAAATCCTCTGGACAGTTCAGTTTCTAATAGAGGCTGCCAATCACTGGCATCCTTTCCAGACACACTGTTGCAGCCTCTGCCTCCAGCATCATATGATGTTCTCCTTCTGTGTAGATTCAGATTACCTTACAATGAAGGACCACAGGAAGGACCTTGCATTAACTTGGTCACATCTGCAAGGCTATTTTCAAGTATAGACATAGTCACAGGAGTGAAGAATTCAAGATTCATTTGGGAGAACACATTTTGACCCTTATCAAGTACATGGAGAAGTTGTTTAACTGTAGAATATTCCCCAAAGGTTCTCGTGTTTAAACACTTAGCGTTTCAGCCAGAAGTGTGCCCTGAGGTGAGGGCTGGAGAAAGGACATGGCTCACAAGGCCTCCATGTTTCCTAGCCCAGCCCCGCTCCACCCACTGAGAGCTTGTGCTTCCTGACTGCAGATGCGATGTGACCAGTGCCTCACACTTCTGTCAACACGCCTTCTCTCACAGCGTCCCCTTAAGTGCAAGCAGAAATAAATCCCTCACGCTGAAAGGCACTTGGTCACAGTATCAAGGAAAGTAAATTACACAGTAGCAGGAGGAGGGAAAAAAAAACTTCTAAGATATAACAAAGAGTGGAAAAGACTCATGCTCCGCCCCTGGGGCGCCCATGATGAGACCCCGCAGAGAAGCTGGTTCATGATGGCAGACATTTATTCTCTAACCATTCTGAAGGTGTCTGCAGGACTGTACTCCTCTCTAGACTCTGGCCAGAATCTTTCTTGGACTCTTTCAGCTTCTGATGGCCGCCGCCAATCCCTGCCCTCCTCAGCTTGCAGGGACACCGCTACAGTCTCTGCCTCA